TGAGGGCTGTTCTGTGCACTGTAGAACATTTACCAGCACCCCTTCCCTCTACTCACGAGAAGCCAATAGCAGACTCTCGGTTGTGACAGTCAAGAATACTTCCAGGGGCCAGGCAAGGTGGCTTTTGCCTGTATCCAGGCACTCTGGGAGGCGAGGTGGGAGGATGGCTTGAGCTCAGGAGTTAAAGACTATCCTGAGCAAGAGTGAGATTCCCTCTCTACTAAAAATAGAAAAATTAGCTGGGCATTGTTGTGTAGTCCTAGGTACTTGGGAGGCTGAGGCAGAAGGATTGCTTACGCCCAGGAGTCTGAGGTTGCTGTGAGCTATGATGCCATGATGCTCTACCAAGAATGACAGAGTGAGACTGTGTCTCAGGAAAAAGAAGAATACACTTCCAGGCATTGGTAAATGTCCCCTGGAAGCAAAACCACTGTCTTGGGCTTACACCTAGTGTCACCTGCGGAGTTCTCCACTACTGGATGGCGGGGTGCTTCCTGGCCTCTGCCCAAAGGTGCTTTCTGGTCACGGGAGTGTTCTGGTGATGCACTAGGGGCAGACTGAGTGCTCCCAACCAGTGAGGGACTGGAGTTAGTGAAGAAATGCCCTAATGGAGTTAGTGAAGAAACTCCTCCACACAGTCTGTCGCAGGGTCCCCAGCAGGAGTGAGTCTGCCCCTTTGTTGTCCTTCCTCCCTGCCTGCCTTCTTGGGAGCATCTCCCAATACAGTAAGCACTTGCACTCAAATTCCTGTTCTTAGTCCTGCTTTAGGAGGAGCCTAGACTGAGACAGCGATCCTCCAACTTGATAGGGCAGCCCTGGGGTTAGATCTGGGCTTTCTGACTGTTTCAGGGAAGGAGGCCCCAGCATTTAATCACTCTCCTAAGCCTTTTTCTTATGCATAGAATGGAGCTGTGATACCAGTCCCATTCTTATGGATTAAACAAGATGATGTATATAGAGTTCAATATGGCAGTTGGCTATAGGTGATCCATAATATGAGCTTTTATTTTTGGTCTAGAAATGATAAGATTTGTGTCATGGCTTCATCACCTCTGTAAAATAAAATAAAAGTCTTAGGACCACTTCCCCAGAGCTCCTTATGCACAAGGGAAGGTAAAGAAAGGCTTGGGGCACCTGTGCAGGACTGGCCCCATAGATCATTCATAAGGACATTCCTTGCTGGCCTCCCACAAGCAAGGACATGCAGATTGCAACTTTGTCTGCACGTTCTGTCTAGCTCCGCAAACTAAAGTCTGTTGGAATCCACACTAACAATGTATCAACAAGTTTTACCTCCACAGGCGCAGAATAGAGAAAAGACAGGGTTAAATATTCTTCCACCTACCCAGGGATATCTACGTAATTGATGCTTCCTTCACTCCCTTTTCTAACATTTGCCTTTTCTTTTATAAAATGTAGATTTTCCTGGGTCTCACAAGAATGTAACCATTTTGTCTCACTACCCTCACCCCTTTTTCTTTTCTGTATGCCCTAACCCTTCCATATTCCCTTTTAAGGGAACTGCCCCAAACTTATTTATGGTTTCTGTTTTTCCCAGGTATATCCTCAACTTTGGCTTAACAACCTATTGATTGAGATCTCTGTCTCAGTTATTTTGGGTTGATACTTCCTAACTCTGCTTTCAGGCATGTGAGACGCGGAGATAATTCTGATACACCCCATCATTCCTCTACGGCTTGTCCCCCATGAACCTTACATGTGGTGTCAACTTTGGCTTATATTATGCTTTGTAGGAATTCAGTAGGAATTGTAGGTATGCCAGTTTCTTTGGTATTAAACCATCTAAGCATCTCAGGATTTCTGTTGGGAATTGGAGAGCCACCTAAAGACTTTCCTTTCAACCTAATATAATGGTTGTTCTCGGTGTGAGAATACAATAATTAACAACATACACAGGGTGCCTATCTTGTGGAGTTAAAGTCTGGGGCCAATCTTGCACCTTTAGTTCTGAATAATTGCAAACTTTCTGTGAAGTTGCCTCTCAGTAGCCTGGAGAAAGGGATGGCCCCTACCAAGCAAAACTGAAATACCCGAATGGACCTGGCAACCAGGGAAGGACTGAAAGTCTCAGGAAGTGGCCTGCTGGACAGATACATCTGAAGCCAGGGGAAGCAGTGGAGGATTATACTCCATGGAGGGCCTGGAACTTGTGAAAACAGACGTTTTCATTGAGGGTGATAGAAAGGCTTTAATCAACTTATTCTTAAGGCTTTTAACTACTTCTGGTAAAATCATTACAACCACCTTCCCAAAACCATATCTGATTTCCATGGCCAACTAGAAGACAGGAGAACAAAATGCGTGTTTGGTGCCAAGACAACATAGCCCCAAGGGTAAGATATTTGTACCTCACCATTATTCTTCCTTCCTCTTTCCACCACACTGCCTTTCTTTTCTTTTTTTTTTTTTTTTTTTTTTTTTGCTGAGAGTACGTATGGTTGACCAAAACAGGTTCAGTCTGAGTTGTTCATTTTAGCTCAGTTTAAAATACTTCACAGGAACACACCCTGCACAAGCTTCCATGGAGAAGGCAGCTATCTCCAGTCCAGGGTAGCTGGAGACAGAATATGAGACTAATAAATGCACAAAGCAGGTGATTCTCTCCCTTCCTGAGGGCTTCCCCCATCTCCTGGCTTGACGTGCTCTTCCTCTGACCTTCCCCATCACTGGATCTCTCACGGCACTTTCAGCTGTGTTGACAGATGCAGATGTGCCAGCCTCTTCTCCCTCACTAGGATTTGTTCCTTGAGGGTAGAATCTATGGTTTCCTCACCTTTGTAAATGCCATAGCGCTTAGCATGGAGCCTTGCAAACAGAATATGCCCAACAAAGGCTTGTGAGCATGCACAACCAATGCCATGATTGAGACTGCATGTCTGCTGTGGGCACCAAGCTTATAAAGAGTAGCCAGTGGTACTGAGTGGAGCAGAGCATTTAACAGGGAAAGAAGGATCATTGCAGTTGACGACTACGCTGTGCAGCAGAGTGGTGAAGCCAGTTCTCAGGGGCTAATGAAAGAGTAATGAGCCAGTAAGACACTCTTTTAAAAAGTGTTGACACAAGGAAGGAGAGACAGTGATAGGAAAGCAGCTTGACTGACAGCAGTTTTGTTTCAACAGGGAAAGGGGTATTGAATTAAGACTGTAGAATTGGAATCTATAGAGATGGTGCAATATGTAAATATCTGATGGTTCTGGAATATGCAGGTGGGTATGAAGTCAAGGTCACAAATGAAGAGTCTAACCTTGGCAGGAAGGGGGTATGATGGACAGAAATGGTAAGAATAGAGAATTGGTAAGGCGGAAGAGAGGGAGACTGAGGCTATGTTACATAGGTTAGATTTTCTTGATAAAGCAGGAGGTAGGAACATCATCTCCAAGTTCTGAGGGCAAGGGCCCTGGGTTTATGCAAAAGCTACTTAAGTAAAAATGAATGTCAAAGACAAATGTAAGGACCACTGAGTGGAAGAGGATGGCAGTAACTCTGTAGAGAAATCTAATCAGCCTCACCTTACAACTTTGTATCCCAACACTTACTAGGTCAGAAGCAAACAGAAAACAAACAGTGGTGTATCAGTTTCCTAGGTCCTGCTGAAACAAAGTATCAGAACAGTTCCAGGGGCTAGAAGGCATCCCCCGGGCCATGTTCTAGCTGACAGCTCTAGGGGGAATTGTCCATACTTCTGCCTTCTGGTTTCTGCTGGTGGGCATGAGTGCTACTTGGTTGAACCCCCACCCCTTTAAAGAACACCAGTCACATTAGACTGGGGCCAACCCTAATGATCTCATTTTAATTTGACTACCCCAATAAAAGACCTTAGATTCTAAGGTACTGGGGGTTAGTTAGGGCTTCAACATATCTTTAGGGGTCATAATTCAACTGATAACAGGTGGGTGCAAGGACACAGGTCCAAGGCTAGTTAAGTGGGCCTCGATAAAGGGAGTGTGAAGAAATTAGGCTAGTGAGAACATTCAGGCTGGAAGGGAGGCAAGCAGGGTGTGAGTTCTGGAGATCAGGGGAAGGTGAAGGGCATATAGCAGAGGAGTAATAGGGATAAGCAGTTCAGTAGGAGTCACACACGAGAGGGTACGAGGAGAAGGAGATCTCTATTGGTCTAAGATCTTAGGGTAGCAGTAAGGACGGAGGCTTGGCTGTGATTATGGAAGGTCAGCTAGAGGGAAGGTAATTTGTCACAGCTGAGGTCATCCTGAGAGGCAGGGTACCAGAAGCAGTTTCTCCACCCACATGGAAAGTGACATCAGGGAAAGAGACAGAGGTCAGCAGTAGTTGTGTTGTTAAGGAAGGTGGGAGAGGATAGCTAAGCAGATGAGAGAGTGTTTGGAGGGGAAGGAATCCTAGGCTTAGGGGGAGATGGGGTACAGTGCGGAAGGAGGCGAATGCTTGACAGTGGCATGGGTGGCAGAAGCAGCCTCTTTTGAGGCTGTGCAAGAGGGACGGAGGGGAAGGAAAATGACAGCAAAATGACGAGCCCGAGGATTAACTAGATGCTTCGCGCCATGCTAAGAGTCATTGGTTTCCTTAGCAACAGTAGCCTTGTGGTTTATCTTGGATCTTCCTCTCAGTGTAACAGGGGAATGGCTGAAAATGCCCTGCCCTTGATAAATCAGAATGTCCAAGCTGCCTTTCGGTGGTGGCCCTCCACCTAAGTGAGATTCAGCCCAGAGGGCGCTGGGCTGCACCCCGACTGCAGCTGTATCAGAGGCACAGGCAGTGGGAGGAGAAGCGGGGGAGGCGCTGGGCTTCAGTTCTTTGTTCATAAATGGGGTCAGAGTCCCCACAGGGCTGCTTGAGTTTGTAGCACACAGTAAGTCCTTAATAAATGTTAGAGATGTTATTACTGTATTTGCCACAGTCTAATGAAGGAGAGTTGAAAATATGTTGCTCAAAATCACAGTAACAACGATGATGGTACAGTTCCTTCTCTCCCTCCCTTCCTCAAAAGGAAGAATACAATAAAATAATCCCAGAACATTTATTTCCATAGGTTTTGATAAAAGAGCACAATCCTGGGGGGAAAAAAAAACACCACGGACTGAAAGACAACATTGTAAAACAAGCGAAAGCTCCTGACCCCTCCCCAGAAGAGAAATTTCAGAAAACAGTCTTCCACCTCCTGATGATTTCACAGTACTCATAACCTCATCCCATCTCTTATTTTCTCCAATCTAACTAAAACCTGTCTTCACAAGTTGTGTGTGTGCATGCACAAAGGCTCATTTTACCTACCCAGTAAAGGAACTGAGACAACACTTAGGGGAATAAAAATAGTCATCCCAGCATGATGAAGAAGCCAAGTCCAGAAGGCCCAGCTAGGGCCACTTTCTCCTCGGAAGCCCCTACATTCTAAAAATGTCACTGTATGCCTGAAATGTGAAATCTAGTGTGCTCACTGCCTTGAGGTCACTTCTCACCTGAACTTCTCTCAGGGCAGGTCTAGGAGGGTGAGACTGGTGGAAAGGAGTGGGGGTGTGTGAGAGAGTGGGGCCTCGCTCAGAGAGGAGCCTTGGGGGCTCCAGGGCTCAGGACACACAGGTCACCGTGGCCTGGTGCCTGGGATGGGGGGAGGGAGATGATCCAAAAGTCTGTGCTTGAGACCAGACTCTTCAGCCATAGCTTCTCACAAAATGGAGCTGGTGGCTTCGCTCTGGCCACTTGCCCCTTTCATTGTTGCACAGCCTTCTTGGCATCAGGATGGGAGCCGTGGTTCCTTGATACATAGAACACCGCCTGCTAAAGAAGAGGAGACGGACGGAGGAAGCTGAGGCTGCTGCTGCAGCCACTCTCAGCCTGGGACGGCTCAGGTGAAGTTCTTGCGGGAGGCCCAGGGCCTGGTCAGGCAGCTGCCTTTCCTGCCCTCTCAGCCCCTGTTCCTGCTCTCTTAGCCTGGTACTCCTGTTTTGCTCTCTCCCTCTGCTCCTGTTCCCTCTGAACCAGCTGTGCCTGCTCCTCATTCCACTGCTGCAGTTTCTGCTCGTAGGTGGCGATGTCCTCTGCTTCGCAGGTGGGGAGCTCTTCTTTGACAAGCTGTGTGGTCAGAGTCAGAAGGCCTTCTGACTCCACTTTGCCCAGAGCCTGAAGCTGAGAGTGTGAGGCCTGTGGGAAATGGATGTGGGAGAAAAAGAGGAAAAAGGTGAAGCAGGTGGGAGAATAAAAAAAGGACGAGAGAAGAGGCTGAGTCCCTTGCACAGTCTCTACACAAAGGAGAAACCACTTTGCTGGGAAGCTGTCACGCTGTCTTTCATCCAGGCACTGTTAGTCTGCCATTTTCTCAGCTCGGCCATTCTGCTAAGATGCACCACAGTGCCTTCTCCCCTTTCACTCACAGACAGTAAGTGGAACTCCATATGCTGTGTCTCCCCATGTACTTTCTTGCCTTAAACAAGAGACAGCACAGCTATCAACAAATCCATGTTTCTCTTGTGACCTACACCAAAGCGAGCGGCAAACTCCAAGAACAAGAAATCTGAGATGCAAACAAAATGGCACAGGCACCTGATGAACTGGAGCAAACCCACCCATATCGGCTCCTTCAGAGGAACTGAAGCGAACGTTTGTCTTACTGGCACTCCTGTCAACAGATGGAAATCATTTCCATGATTCCCCACCAGATTTCCCACTAATGGCATGCTAAACAGCTCCCGTGAGTGCTGCACTGTTAGAAACCCCCACCTGCTGTGCCCGGGTACAGGTCAGCCTTTACACACTGACTGCCTACAGCCCCATCTGAAGTGGCAGCTTGGTTTGGTTGGTATTGCATTTCTAGAGAGTATTAAAAACATTCATCTATGTAAGTGTTTCAAGATGTGCTCATCAGAGAGCGCCACTTATAGCCCCAGCCATACCTTATAACAAGCATCCCCAGGCTCTACAAATGCAATTCACTCAGAGGTGAGGCGGCTGCTCCAATAAAGGGGAGGGGTGTGGACAGTGGGCAGGGTAGACGGGCTCCGAGGAGGGGCCAAGGCTTACTCTGATGGTGATGTGATCCCTAAAATTACCCTAGACTAATACCAATTACGCAAGAGGAAGAAAAGGAAATGTAAGATGAAAATGATTTCTTCCTGATGTCACTCTCCATGTGGTTTGAGGACATGGAGACAGTTTAGACACCAGAATAAGGGCTCAATTCCGAGCTGCCAGTCTTTTGATCTGTTAAGGCTGGGCTAGTTTCTCTCCACACTGCTGTCATGACATGGGAAGAACGGTCCTTGCTGCCAGAGCTTTTGTGAGGACACAGGAAATGCACTGGTGCCTAATGCACAGCTAGTAAAGAATGAAGGCTGAGGCTCGGTGCCTGTGGCTCAAGTGGCTAAGGCGCCAGCCACGTACACCTAAGGTGATGGG